TCACAGCTAAATTACTGTATAACGCTCAGTCATTATTTTACTCTAAGAGATCTTGCTTAACCACAGCCCTCATTATTTGTGTAAATGTCCTTAATCAAAAATGTTTATTTTGCTTGTTTTACAATAGGAACTTCTGTTGCCTAATAATACTGCTTTCGAGGGTTGGACTCTCAAAGTTAAGGGATTTCTTCATAAAAGAATGGAATTTATTGGCTAGTTTCGATCCATGGACTGACTGTTGTAAGAACGGTGGCGACTTGTTGACAATATTCACTCCACTTTCCTATGAAAGACCCAAAGTCCAGTCAGGTGACACTACAACATGGGATTTATCTCTCTTTGTCAAAGTTCTCTTGAATTCCAGACCTTCTTTTGTGCACATTCCTAACATAGTTAATGGCTTGCAGTGTTTGAAGGAAACGAGAAACGTACTGTGTCACACAGCTAGCAGTCGTATTAAAGCTGCAGAGTTCCAACAACATTACGGCAATGCTTGCAGTACATTGTTGTTACTGGGTGCTTCAAAAAACGACTTCAAGAAAGTCGAGGAAGGTAAACACTATATCATCTGTGGAGTACTTTAGTGTTGGTCAAGTTCACTTGTGATTGATTTTAGCAAAGAAGCGAAAATTATGAGTCGGCCTTTGCATAACCGTGGATGAGTTTGGAAAAAACTCAACTTAAACCATCTTTAGTTTGACCAACAATACCCTTGCACATCACGCCCTTTGTTATTTTTAGACTCCAACTACGTCGCAAATTTCGATTCCATTGCACTCAAACTTTCACAGTAGTCACATTGATTATTGATAATTCTTGTTGATAAATTAATTTGTCAAAAAGCGTAGCCATTTGGATAAACGATGCAAAATAAAAACACCTTCATTTTTCTTCAAAATTAATTTTCTCGAAACTCATGGCAGAGATTGTAATAAAATTTTCAGAATCATTTCTTAATAATGTAATTGATACACTGACTAAATTTCAATAAAATCTTAACCTAAAATTTCGCTTTGTTCGAATGTACATCATTTTTCTCAAACAACTCGAAAGTTTAGGTTAAGATTTTATTGACACTTCGTCAGCATATCAATCATATTATTAAAAAATGATTCTGATCTTTGCGATGAGTTTCCTGAAAATTAACTTTGAAGAAAAATGAAGGTGTTTTTATTTTGCATCGTTTATCCAAATCGCTTCGTTTTTTGGCAAATTAATTTATCAACAAGAATTATCGATAATCACTGTTACTTCTGTTAAAGTTTGAGTGCAATGGAATCGAAATTTGCGACGTAGTTGGAGTTTAAAAATACGCGCGAATTAAACACTATTTATTACGATCGAATCACCTTAAGTAGGAAATCAGAGATAGAGCACACATGTATTTTCAAAAACGAAACTTGGAAATGTTTGATTGCAATTTAATGCATGGGTGTATTTCCTTGCCCAACTCAATAATATAGTTTACATACTTTCATCAATGTTCAGATGTGCAGAAGCCATGGAATGAAGTGTTATCACTGGTCAAGGAGTGTTCATCTCAAGACGAAGTCATCCTACAAAGAATAGAAAACTCAAGTCAGTACAGTGTATATTTTTGATGAATTAATCTGAAATTCATTATTTCATATGATATCTTGATTTATAATTTGAGTTCTACCATGATTTTACAGCAAAA